TGTGTGTGTGTGTGTGTGTGTTCAGGGGGTTGGGGTGGGTTCTGGCTGGAATGGGTTTGGCAGAGGTTTGGGAAGGGCTAGGAGAAAGATGGAGGATGAAGTCTCCTATTCCCCTTCCCCAACTCTAAGCCAACAGAAGCCTGGGAGGGAGGATGCCTCCTCTCGCTGCCGTGTGTCTTGCAGATGTGCCAAAATGGGGGTGGGTGGGAGGGGAGGGTGCCTGGCAGAGCAGCCCCCAGGGTGGCTCTCTCAAAGCAATACAGTTCCTCCGCTGGGGAACGGCAAGACAGGGGAGAGGGTTGGGGTGGGAGCTCCCCAGGTGTGGGGGGGCTCCCCATGTACAGCTGTGTATATTCAGGGGCGTTCTCTGTCTGGTACCCGCTGTGGGCATCTATGTGTGTGTGAACCTCCCCTTCCCCATGCCCTGCATGACCTGTGATGCTGCAGACACCACCATCCTGTATGCAGGTGTGTGTTGGGGGGCACAGAGGGGCATGCCTCATGTCCTGTTTGCACCCTCCACCCTGTGACCCATGTACTCGGTTGTAGGAAGTAAAGAGAACTGAGCACAATTCACTGGATTCTAGTTGAATCTTTCTCTAAGCAATTTTCCCATTCCTGCCCTTCTCCCTTGTCCCAGATCCACCTGTGGTGCTAGTGTTGGGGTCGGGGGTGTTCAATGCTGGTGGGCAGCAATAAAGGGCAGATCTGCCCAGATGCCTGCATCCCCAGGGTGCTGAGGGCTACAGGAAAAAGTGGGGACCTCGGTGCATTTGTCCCACCCCTCCCACTCCTCCCTGGGCTAAAGCACAATGCTCTCCCTTGAAGATGGATGCACCCTGCACCCTCCAGGCCCCCACTCATGTCCTCCTCCAACCTGCTTTGAGCCCTCCCACCACACCTTGGTTTTCTATGCTGTTTTGGTGCAAGTACAACTGTCGTAGTCATGGCTTTGGGGATGGGTTCTGTTTATTAAAATCCTATTGCTCCTACTGGCCCTGTGTCCCGCCTCCATTCCTGTGGTTGGGGGGAAGGAAGGGCAACCTGGATCCCTTGCCACTGGCCCCTGTCAGCCATCAGAGGCCAGGGGCAATAACTGCTCCTCCAGCAGGGCTATGGTGATCATGAGGCTGCCCCCTAGCAGCAGCCCCAGCCCCTGCAGCAGCACATGGAGCATGGGTAGGGGCTCAGGAGGACGAAGTAGGGCTGGTAGCTGGAAGAAAAGAAGACTGTCAGGATTCTGGCCTGGCCTCCAACCTTCCCCTGCCCTGGAAAACAGAGCCTCTGACCTCTTAGCCTGAGATAGAGAAGGTATCTGTGAATGATCAGCAAAGCCCCTCCCCCAGCACTAGTTTTGGTCCCTTGTTTCTCCGACACAAACTGGCCTAAGGGCCAGTCCCCTCCTGACCTGGGGGAGGTGGAGGGACTGCTGCTTCCCTCCTCTCTGTAGCTAGCACCTCCCACCGTCCTTGGTTCCACTCCTGTACCCTACACCTCTTACCATGTCCACGAGGGCCACATAGAGGAAGACCCCAGCCGTGACCCCAAACACCCAGGGGGTGAGAGGGACAGGGCCCAAACTGAGCCCCACCCCCAGAGCTGCACCTCCCAGTCCCAGGGCTCCAGACACAAGGCTCAGCAGCAGCAGCCTCTGGAAGGACAGCCCTGCCTGCAGCAGCATTGCAAAGTCACCTGTGGCGGAGAGAGGATAGGACAAAAGGGAATAAGCCAGCGCTGCCCCTTCTCCCACCCCCACCTGTGTCAACCACCAGCTTCTGAGTTCTGCTTCTTGGAGATCTCCCCCTTCTAGAGCCCACACACTCCACATGTTCCATTCTTACCCAGTTCATGGGGCAGCTCATGGCAGAAGACAGCTAGAGTGGTGCTGAGGCCACTGGAGAAGCCATCAGAGAAGGCTGCACCTGAGGTCAGTAGGGTTGAAAGGTATCAGTACAGAGGGCCACCTCCTTCTATCCCCTTATCCCTCTGTGATAATCTTCCCCCTTCCTGGCAGCCCCCTCTCCTTGTTGTAGCTGACAACTAGAAGTCCCGACCTCTCTGGGACTCCCATTTTCTCCCTCTGTTCTCTCCCCTGCACACCTATGGCCAGCCCATCAGTGAGGTTATGCAGGCCATCACCCAGAAGGACCATCCACGTGATACTGGCACCACCACCACCCTGCTGCCCATGACTGTGGCCTTGGTGTCCAGCAGAGGCTGGAGCTGGTGGAGACTGGCTGTTGTGTTCCCTCTGGCCCTGAGCCTCTGGCTCTGCAGGAGAAGGACAAGGACAAGTGTTGGGAGCTGCAGGTGAGCATTGTGATCTGGGAGCCCACATTATTTCTCCTCTAGTCACCTGGAGCCGCCTGCAGGGGCCGCAGGGCCGTCCCACTGCCATCTTCGGGGTCCAGATTTGGTGTTCCAAGATTCCGTTTGCGCCTGCAGTATCTCTGAAATAGGAAGACATCCCTCCTGGTGGAGGAGGCAGTAGTGCCAGGGACTAAGGGGAGGCTGGGCCACCAGCTGGGAAAGTGAACACCTGCTTCTACCTCTGGCACCTGGGGAATGCTGTTTGGCCTCCCCCCTTCCAGGTTAGCACCTCCCTCTGTTTCTTGGTTGGCTTGAACTTGGTAGAGGAGATCATTTGGCCAGAAGTCCCGGGCCTATGCTAAGAACCCATACTCATTTGTTAGTGGACAGCTGATAGCCCAGAGCCAGGAGAACAAGCTGCCCCCTCATGCATGGCTTGCTTGGCCAGTTCTTGGCTAGGATTCTGGTCTTGGCAGGAGGAGGAGAAAAAGATGTCACTCACTGGTCTGAGCCCTCTACGCCGCAACAGCCCTAGCACATTCTCTAACACAAAGAGCAGGAAAAGGCCTCCAAGCACCGACAGCCCTGGACCCAGGTCCTCCTCTGGTCTCCCATTAGGTCCTGTGTGCTGCCCTCTTTGTGCCTGTCAGGAAGGAGGTCAGAGAGGAAAGGTCCCTGGAAGCCCCCACACCCACCCACATCCCTCTCACAAGGAAGGTACTCATCTACTCTGTGGGGGCAGCTGTGGGCTGAAACTAGGAGTAGGGGAGTGGAATCTGGGAGCTGATGAAAAGGGGAAGGGTTGCCTGTGGCTGGGAACACCTTGGATTCATGGACACCATTTGCCCCTGGGTTGGGAGGGCAGGGAGGACAGGGGTTTCACATACATGTGGCAGTAGGTGTAGCAGCGCATCCCCACAAAGAGTGCCCACAGCCAGGGCTCCCAGGAAGCCCAACAAAGGCCGAAATAGACGAGGTCCCAGGAGCCTCAGCAGCAGCAGGGAGAGGGGAGCAGGAAGGCTGAGCAGCAGGACTGCCAGGGAACTATGAAGCAGGGCTGGGGAGAATCAGGAGCCAAAGTCAGGCAGGATTGATCCAGAGGCAAAGTGGGGAAGAGTTACATTGCAAGGGACATTGGGCCCCAGTGAACCTTCTTCCTTGGTAGGGGGTCCATTCCCTACCAGGACACAGGGTGCTCCCTACCCACTTCTCATTCACTGACCAGACAGTAGATCTCCTGGAGGAGCCGGGGCTGGAGCTTTGACACAGACACGACTGTCAATCTGGTAAAGCAGGGCTGGGCACAGCAGAGCAAACTGGCGAGGGGTCAGAGGAGCAGCAGGGCTCAGGCCAAAATTGACCAGCAGCTGGGAGCCATTTAGACACTAGGAGTTGAGAATGTTATACAATGAAGGAGTCCCTGAGAACTATAACTCAGCTCTTTCCATCTCTCCTTCCATTGCACAGACTCTCTCAAGGTCTCCTTTGCTCACATTGGCAAAAGCATCAGAGTCAGGGAACTAAGTTACTCATAATAAATGGACCCAATGAAAATACTCAGTTCAAAGCTGGAAACCAGTGGCTCATACCTATAATCATAGCTACACAGGAGGCTGAGATCTGAGAAACATGGTTCAAAGCCAGCCTGAGCAGAAAATCTGTGGGACTCATCTCCCATTAAATAGCAAAAAGCCAGAAGTAAAGCTGTGGTTCAAGTGGTAGAGAGCTAGCCTTGAGCAAAAGGCTCAGGGGAGCAGGGTGCTGGTGGCTCACGCCTATAATCCTAGTTACTCAGAAGGCTGAGAACTGAGGATCTCAGTTCAAAGCCAGCGCAGGCAGAAAAGTCCATGAGCTGGGAAGGTGGCTCAGTGGTAGAGTGTTTGCCTTGCATGCATGAGGCCCTGAGTTCGATTCCTCAGCACGACATTAGCAGAAAAAGCTGGAAGTGGTACTGTGGCTCAAGTGGTAGAGTGCTCACCTTGAGCTGAAGAGCTGAGGGACAGGGCCCAGGCCCAGAGTTCAGGCCCCACGACCAACAAAAAGAAAAAAAGAAAAAAGAAAAGTCCATGAGACTTTTATCTCCAATCAACAATCAGAAAACTGGATGTGGTGTTGTGGCTCAAAGTAGTAGAGCACTAACCTTGAACAAAAGAGCCCAAGCACAGTGCCCAGGCCTTGAATTCAAGCTCTGTGACTGACCAAAAAAAAAAAATAAAGATCAGAGAACAATGGCCAGGCCCTGAGTTCAAGCCTCAGGATCAGCAACAACAACAAAAAGAATGAAAGTTCAGTTCAAGACAAATTGGATGCCAGTGGACATTTCCATCATCTCCCTTCTTTGTTTGATGATGAGCTTGTGACAATTAGAATCCTCCATGCTAGAATCCTCAAATGGAAAAGAATCTGAAATGCCACCCATCTGCTCAACAGTGTTATCATAAGTTTGTCCAGCCTTGACGTGGATGCTTTCTGTGATGGGGCACTCATTAACCTGCTTTCTCATCCAATTACTTTTCAGGATCATACAGTCTTGGAACAAGTTCACTGTCACTGTCAATGTAAGTAAAGACAGCCATCTAAGCTGGGCACAAGAGGCTCACACATGTAATTCTAGCTACTTAGGAGGCTGAGATAGGGAGAACTGTTATTTGAAGATAGCCCAGTATATAATCATATACTCTTGACCAATCGCAGGACATGATGGCATACACCTACCATTCCAGCTACATGGCAGGTTGAGATCAATCAGAAGAATCTCAGTCCCAGACCAGCCCAGACAGAAAAAGTCAATGAGACTCCATTTCTGTGGTAGAGTGCCTATCTGGTATGCTCAAGCTCCTGAGTTCAAACCCTCAATACAGCCAAAAGAAAACTGAACTCTGGGCCTGGGCGCTGTCCCTCAGCTCTTCAGCTCAAGGCTAGCGTTCTACCACTTGAGCCACAGGACCGCTTCAGGCTTTTTTCTTATGTGGTGCTGAGGAATCGAACCCAGGGCCTCAGGCATGCAAGGCAAGCGCTCTACCACTGAGCCACCTCCCCAGCCCCTGGCTTTTTCTGTTTATGTGGTACTGAGGACTCGAACTCAGGGCTTCATGCATGCTAGGCAAGCGCTTTACCACTAAGCCACATTCCCAGCCCTGAGTTTTTTTTTGGGGGGGGTCCGGTCATGGGGCCTGGGCACTGTCCCTCAGCTCTTCAGCTCAAGGCTAGTGCTCTACCACTTGAGCCACAGCGCCACTTCTGGCTTTTCTCTTTTTGCGTATGTGGTGCTGAGGAATCGAACCCAGGGTCTCATGCATGCTCTACCACTGAGCCACCTTCCCAGCCCCGAGATTTTTTTTTTTAAGTAACCATTAAAGTATAGACTCTAAGCAAGTCAGGCCACCTAATCCCATAGCTCCTTTCTAGAGACCATCAGACTTACATCCTCATTCAGATGGTCAGCTAATGAATGGTCCAACAGCAGCAGCCTGTGAAAGAGGTCCAAGCCCGAAGGTGCTGCAGGTCCATTGTGGGAGGCCTTTGACTCCTCCAGGTCATCCCAGCCTGAGGGACTCAGAGGCATCTCTGCCCAGACATCCACACTCAGCTCTGGGTCCTGGAGCCTGAAATGTATAACAGAACAAGCTGGACTTGCTCATGCTCTCAAACACCTTCCTTGAGTTCTCCTAAGAGGTTAGGAAGGGCTGGAATTCCTAGGATCCAGGATTCAGTCCTGGTAAGATTTGAGAACTGTCACTTTGTAGGAGAGCCTAAGAATGGTGACATTGGTGTTAAAGGAAAAAGCTGGAAGCACTCCAAACTGGGAGCCAAAGTCAGCTTGGAGTACTGAGCATTGAGACTCAGCCAGGAATTTATTGTCTTTCTAAAATTTGCTTTCTTACAGTGCTGGGAATAGAACACAACACCTTGAGCGTGGTAGACAAGTGCTCAACCATTGAACTACATCCCAGCTCAAGAACAAGGAATTTAAGTTTCCAGGAATTTGGAGGAGAAAATTTGGAGGCAATAGAGGCAAGCAGGGTCTTGAAGAGTTGTTCCTGGGGTGTGTAATTTGAAGGACTAAGCTAAGCACTAAAACAGTTGGTGGATAAGAGCATTTCGGGGATGGGGGGGGGGAGAAAGAGGTTAGTACCTGTGTGTCAAATTGTCTCCTGCTGAGGGTACAACCCTCCCTGTCTGGGGCCCATGGTGTCCCAGTCGAAGCCCCTGGACTCTGCCCAGACCTAGGTTGTGGAGAAGACGGGCCAGGCCTCCTGCAGTCAGTGTCCCATTCTCGCCATACAGGCCAAACAGCTGGGCCAGGTAATGGTTCTGCTCCTGCTCAGCAGGGCCTAGGTAGGGGACTGAGCCCCCTACCCAGCCCAAGATGATCCCCACACACAGGCCAGCCAACAGATAATGCACTGGAGCTCCCATGATAGGGAGGGGAATCTGTTTGAGTTTCTGGTTCTGGCTTCTAGTCCCACTGGTACATCCTGAGGTTTGTACCCTAGGTGGAAAAAAAAAGGAGGGAATTAGGGGCACTCTTCTGCTCTCCAGCTCAGGGCCACGGGAAAACCACCTCCTTCCTTTGTCTAGAGTTGAAAGCAGCTTCAGCTCAGGTCTTCTCTCTCCCTCCCCATTGCCTTCCTCTGGAACAGTTGGTCATCCAGACTTCAGAGCACCTCCCCAAACCAGGGCTCTCTTCACATCGGATCCATCCCCCATCCTCCAATCTTGCCTCATCTCTTTATTCCCCTCACCCCACCCAGTTCCCAGGTGCTCACCCCTACTGATGACGAGAATTGCCACCTCGGGTCCCTGGCAGGTTGGACGTTACAAGGTTCCTGAGTCAGGGAGGGGAACCTGGGCTCAGCCTCCAGGTGCCCAGGTGCAATGGAGGCCACGTCATATAGAGGGCTGAGATGGACAGGCTCCCTTGTCTTAGCCCACCTGCTTTGGGGCGGGGCAAGGGGTGTGGCCAGTGTGGGAAGGTTCACATAGAAGAGTTAATGGTTCACTGCTCTCTGGGGTGGGGGTCAAAGGTCACTTTGGGCTGGGAGAGGGCCCCCCTCTACTGTGAGAAAGCCACATGGTTGAGAACCTGTACTTATTTTTTTTCCTTCTTCTTAAGTAATTCGCCCTCTTCTAAACACTTAGTACCCTTTGTATGTACTCCCAGCACACCTACCTACCTCTGTCTGTCACAGAACTTCCTCTTTCTCCAACCCCAGCCCCATGCACCCTGGGAAGTTTGCACCCAAGAGCCCCTAAATTGAGGAGGAGCAGGGAGAGGCAGGTAAGTGGTAATCCCAGATGCATGTGGGAGAGAGACTGTTCTTAGCAATTCCCTACCCCAGAAAGCCCAAGAACCAATAATCTCCCACCCTGGGAAGCATAAGAGCAGTGTTCAGAAATCAATGACCGACACCTGGGAAGCTCTGCAGGGGACAAACAGGAAAACAAATCCAGGGCTCCCCTCTGCTTTCAGACCTGGCTGAAGATCTGGGGAGCAAAATCTGATTGGAGCCACTGGTCCAGGGGGTTGAGGTTGGCATTACCTGACAGCAGGAGACAGGAAGGACGTTCAGAAGAAGGGGAACCCAGCCTTCCTATGGCAGGCAAGGGGGCAAGGGTCACCTGGAGGGAGGGGGGCAGGGGAGGGACACTACCTTAAAGGGGCAGGCCTATTTTACCTGGGCTTCCTTGCCTCTATCTCCCCTTTACTTCCTGGGACCTGTAGCTTTCCCAAATACCCAGCTGTTGACTATTTTCCTTTAGCACAAAAAGCAAAGAAGTCCACTGCAGAGTGGTAACATTTATTTAGGAAGGAGAGATGGGAATAAGACCCTCATATCACATACACACAAGAAAGAGTTCAACTGTCATTTCTAGAGAGGGCTCTGAATCCCAGGGGACAGTCTGGACAAGGCAGATATGGCGGGGGGGGAGGGGGATAAGACCACTTTGCAATCACCTCTCCAGGGAAGTTTAGTGGCTAAACTACTGCTACCCACCTCCCCTATGCCAAAGCCAGCAGCCCAGCAGAAGGCTGTCTGGTCCTCCAGCAGAGGCAGACACCTGGGTTGTGGTTGGTGGCAGGAGGGGAGGAAGAGTGTCTCCTATCTTTTGCTGCTTCTTCGGGTTTCTTTGCCGTTACTGACAGGGTTGTTGGAAGGGCCAGCAGGCGTGTGGTTGGGTTGGCTTCGAGTGATCCGGGTGCTGGGAGGGTGGGAAGAAGCATGAGGAGGGTGGGGGCCACCACCAGGACCTGGTGGGGTGCTCAGTCCATTCCCATTCTGGTTCTCAGAAGCTAGTGGTAGGAGAATAAACACAAAATTAGAGAGTGAAGGGCTGGGAAGGTGGCTCAGTGGTAGAGCGCTTGCCTTGCATGCCTGAGGCCCTGGGTTCGATTCCTCAGCACCACATAAGCAAAAAGA